AGGTTAGGGTTCAGGTTAGCATGAGGTTAGGGTTCAGGTTAGGATGAGGTCAGGGTTCAGGTTAGGATGAGGTTAGGGTTCAGGTTAGGATGAGGTCAGGGTTCAGGTTAGGATGAGGTTAGGGTTCAGGTTAGCATAAGGTTAGGGTTCAGGTTAGCATGAGGTTAGGGTTCAGGTTAGGATGAGGTCAGGGTTCAGGTTAGCATAAGGTTAGGGTTCAGGTTAGCATGAGGTCAGGGTTCAGGTTAGGATGAGGTCAGGGTTCAGGTTAGGATGAGGTTAGGGTGACGATTTCACATATTATTCATGGCTATTCGCCGGTGCTTTCCTCAGGAACACGAACTCGGATGGGAAGCTTCCAGATATGCTCACCCAGGACCAGTTCCTGCCGGCAATCTACAAATTACACTTTAATACGGCAGCCTACTTTGCGCAGTCCAATACCAAGGGATTCTTTCCCTACGTAGAGGTACGTTAACGCAATGCATTTGGAGTGTAATGTTCATTGCATGTACAGTCAAACCTCGGTTATCCGAACATCTATTATCCGAATTTAGGATTGTCCGAACAAGATCTCAAGGTCACGTGAATAGATCAGTTATCAGCGATCAGATCAATTATCTGAACAATCAGTTATTCGAACAAAATACTCCCTGCCAGTCTCGTTCGGATAATCGAGGTTTAACTGTATGTAGTATACATGTATATCATGTATGTAGGTCTATTTTATTAGTGTGAAGTTACTTGCGCTGGTTGAATCTTGGCCGTTGCTGCTCTCACACGTATGGGCATATCTGTACACGTAACATATCCCGAGTAACTTTACTATGTTAGTGATTTTGTGAACGTTGAAGGAACGTCGTCTGCTAAATCATGTTCCTTCAAAATTAATAATCGGAAAGAAAAATGTATAAAAACGAAATGATTAAAAAATTTTTTTTTTTAATTCTTGCCTTGCAGGTGGTGTTTGAGATTGTCGATCCGTACCAGCATTACCACGTTCCGCTGCTGCTCAGCCCGTTCGGCTACACGACCTATAGAGGGAGCTGATGTTGTTGTCCACCGATCCACCATGATCGTGACGAGGCGAAGGCGGTGGCGCGCTCTACGTAGCTATAGATCGTGTTACCTGCGATGGCGGATCGAGAGGGGTGGTTGAAATCCCCTCCCCCCCCCGTTCAGCCACTGACTAATGTTATGATACTAGTAAAATGGGGGGCACCCTAGCACCTGATCTGTCACGGTACATGCAGTTCCCCATCCCAAACACTAGCGGGCGATTAACTACGGTTGATATATAGTTTGTCTGGTAGACTGGTGAATTAAAAAGTTCTGTGATAGATATCAGTTAACTCCTTAGTTCTGTGATAGTCCTCGGCTGAATGATCGAGTTAGAGACACGTAATGATGTAAAATATCTTGTCCGATAATTGAAATGAATATTTTGATTATTAACGTGAAATGCTGATAATGTCTTTCAAAGGCAACGACGTTTTCCTGGTGTGTTGCTATATAATTGATAAATGGGTGCCTTTTAAATCGTAACATGGGTTGTGATAGGGTTGTTAATTGCTAAATGAAATGTAAATTACCAAATGTGTTATTGGCAGCGAGCCTGGATAATAGTGATCGAATGCTTTTTCATTGTACCTTTAATCAAAGTTGAGCACATTTTCGACATTATTAAGAGAAAGATCTCGGTAATGTATCAAATGAAATACGTAAATGACGTGCTAATGTTTGGTAGTTGTATTTGATGTAAAAAAATCATTTTCATATTAAAAATACACATTTTTTTAGAGGAATGAAGTTTCAGTTGATCTACATTGTAGTATCATAGCTTCGACTTGTAACTTGCGCTGTAACACTTAGAATTTTCCGTATAAAAAATGTATGATCCATCTGCAGCTCGCACCACGGCCGAGAGGTGGCGCCACTGTCTCCTGCTACGCCTCTCACGCTGCATGACCTCAAACTTTCCCTCCGCTCTCACACCACGGTGGAACGAGGACACCACCTCCACTCTCCCACTCTCTCTCCTCTCTCACCTGTCTCCCACTCTCTCTTTTACCACGACGCCGTGGCACGCTCACATCATGGCCGAGTGAGGGCGCCGGCGTTCCGCGCTCCACGCGTCGTCGTCATGGCGACGCTCCGCGGCGAGCGCGTGCCACCGGAGGGCGTGGTAGTCGCACGGCCCCGCGGCGGCGCG